GTTCCTCGTCGCTTTTATCCTTGTCAGCTCCGAGCTTATCCTTGGCCTGCCCGTCTTCTCATGGCCCTTTTATTATCCTTATCCGCCCATCACTATTCTGCAGCTTTTCTGGATCACTGTTCCAAAATAAACTATTATAATATGAAAAGTACAAAACAAATGTTTGCTTTTATATCCTCTTCCTCACTTTGACAAACACAACCTTTCCCAGTATTTATTTCATCGTCATTAGTGGTCTTTTATAAGCTCCTGAGGGAATTAAGACACACCGAAATCAGGATTCCACTGACCTTTCTTCTCTGCAAAGCCAGCGCTCGGGCCCCTCCCTGCACTCAGTGTGTCAGGGCAGTAAGTAGGTACCGATGTTAGCGAGAGGCAGCATTATTAAGTATCAAAAAGGATGTGACTTTTGTGGTCCAAAAAGACTACATTCCCACTGACACTTGAGACGTGGAATGGAGAGTGCATGACCCTGGGGCCAGAGTTGATGAGAAGATGTTCTCATGAGTCTCGCCCATCTGAGTTGGGAATCTGTAGCTAAGGGATATAGTGGAGGGAAGCCAAGGTTTTAGTACTGAGCCTGGATGTTTCTGTTCCTGATAAGTTCCTTGGCTGAAGTGTGGACTGGACTGTGGCAGGAAGATTCCCTTAGGCCTCCACTGGGTCCCCGTGCAAAGCAGCTGAAATTAGCAACTGAAATTACAAAAGCAGCTTAAGGATGCTGTTCTTTGAGATCTGGGCACCCAGAACCTCATATATCCCAATACGTCCCAAGCTGCATTCTACACGGCCCTGGGGCATATATGAAGATGTTACCTGATGTTACTTCTGGGGAGAAAGGGTCCTGTGGACAAATCTCCTTTGGGGCCAGTTAGGTTAAACAGAATTCTTTGTTGCAAATCCTGTCAAAACCTTTATATTCCAGTGTTTTGCTCCCAAACTACATTAAACTCTCAGTATTTCCCAAATTTACATGGACACAAAATTCTTTTTATTTTTATTTTTTTGCATAGAGCATCTTTGAGAAATTGTAGCATAAATATAATTCACAAAGCAAAGTACAATATTTTAGCATTTATCTGTAGTTGTGGATTCCCTTGCCTGCAAAATAGGTTCTATCCGGAAGTCCCTTCAGGCCCCAGTCCACGCGGTGTGCACCCCTGAAGCCTGGATTTATGCCGAACGGGCAGCCGATGACGTCAGGCATTTCAGCACCTGGTCTGATTGCTTTATTTGTAGCTCCAGGTGAAAGATTTGATTTCAGTGGAATCTCTAGAGTGTATTAGTGGAGTCCTATCTCATAGTTGCATGATACAAGGGTGATACTGATCACAATTAAACTAAAATTCCACTTTTATAACTAGTCCTTGATACATACACACATTTGAGGTTTTAAAATTGTTCATGATTTTTATGCTTTCAAACTGTACTGTAGAATGTTCATATGGTTAATGTCTAATGACTAGAGCATATGAAAAAACATTATGTAGAATTAGCTTAATACTGTAAACTCTGGGAAATGTAAAGACTGTTATTGGCAGTGTGAGAATCCTTCCTCTGGAGAAATCACAGGCCTTCAGTAAACATTCCCTTCCGTCTTCTGTGTTACTGTGTATCTGGATTGGTGAGTGGTGACGGTCCTTAAGACTTTGCCTTCCCTCCGCAGACAGCGTGGAAGATGAACTGGAGATGGCCACCGTCAGGCATCGGCCCGAGGCTCTCGAGCTGCTGGAAGCCCAGAGCAAGTTCACCAAGAAGGAGCTCCAGATTCTTTACAGAGGATTTAAGAATGTAAGAACTTTCTTTTTGACTTTACCTTCACACAGTTCTCAGAGGAGCACTGAGAAGTGAGGGGGAAAAGGGAGATGGTGCAGTTCCGTGAGAGCCTCAGCACGAGTCCCCTTCGCGTACCTCTTCCCTAGATGGGAGCAGCGTCGATACCCATTTGGACTTCGATTCACTTGGGTGCACCGTTGCTCGTACAATATAGGCGCGCGCTAAGTAATGATGGGGACAGAAGGAAGGTTTACTCAGTTCCTAGTGGGAATTCTTTTTCTTTTTCAGCTACATTGACATCATTCCAATAAGCTCCGATTGTCTCTTCCTCTGTGAACTGTAGTCTGGTGCTTGACTTGAGTCTTGGCTATAGATCGGGGCCCATCAAGGGACTCCATTCTGATCATTGGAGAAAAGTCAAATTTATGGAAGTTTGATAGTTAATAAAAGACCATGGCACCACTGGCTCTGAATGACAGGTCTGTAGGCAGTCCCTGCTCTCCATTCTCTGTGATCCAGGTGCACATATCATGCACCTTCCCAAGTGGATCACCTTCAAAAGAAGTGATAGTCCTTGCACACCAGAGGGTGAGGGTGGGGGACAAGGGGTGGGCTGGGCACCACCAGGCACACACTCTTACTGACTCGTTGGTGTGCGCTCAGTATTAAGCTAGGTACTACAGAGCATTCAAAAGCCGGAGAACATAAGCTTATGCTGGAGCTTACAGTCCAAATGGGGAGAAGATACTTACTGGCATGGATTTATTTAAAAGTAATTTATCCTTGAAAGTATTAAATAGTCATATTTTAAATGACATACACATCCCCAGAGGTATTGTATTCTTACATATATGTAAACCATAGTTACATATACTACAGGTAGTCCTTGAGAGCCAAATGAAATTGCTTTGATTCCTCCTCAGATCCCCCTCCTTCCAGCCCTAGTTCCATGGCCTGTAGAAGTCTCTGGTGTCCAAAGATTTCTGCTGACTCCAGCCTCTTCAAATCTGTCCACCTTGGTTGCTACCTCTGTCCAACCTCATGCAGATGAGAAACTCGTCTTTTGGTATCTACAGAAAAACTTTACTCAGAGAATTGTAACTCTAGTTGCCTTTTCAGAATATTTTTATAGGGTTCCGGCATGCCTACTGCACAAAAACTTCCACCATCTCTCTGACTCCATGGGGCCTCTCTCTATCCCATCTCTGCTCCTCACCACTCTCCTTACCTGGGCTTCCAAAATTTTTCCTTCCACTGCTCCTCTGAAGCCTGGTTCTCTGCTGACACCCAGGCCTTTGTAGGGGTGGGCTGGATGGGGAGGGAGGCAATATAAGGGAGATGGGTGCTTACCATCTTGCATCATACACCATGATGTGTCATCAACCAAGATAACACAAATAAACACGCATAAAGAGAAAGGGGCTTTGAATATTAGGCTAGAGAATTATTAGTTAAGCCGTGGCAGCAACAGTTTGCAGGCTGCAGAGGGGGGAAGCACTTACAGTGAAGTAGCTGCCCTGACCACCGACAGCAACAAACCATTGAGCAGTGAGGCTGGGAAGGGAGAAGAGGTGGAAAAGACGAAGTTTTGGCTGAAAGTAAGCGCTAGGAGAAGGCTCATCACGGAAGAGAACTTCCGGTGCATTCCTGGGAACACCCAAACTTCCTTGCTCTGGTTCAGAGATCTTGTAATAAGCAGGCATTTTCCTGTGTAACACTGGATTATGCATCAGATACAAAACAGCTGTCGAACGAAGAACTTAACCAACCTCTCAGCATCCCTGCGCTCCTCCGCTGTTGCTATATTGTCTCTCCACTGCCTTCACTGTAGTCTCTCCACTTGGGGTCCAGCTGCCTTTCATGCCATTTGTTGCAAACTGGAGTCATGATCACCACCATCCTTAACCCTCAGGGCCAGCATCTCTGCAGCCTGTCTTCCACAAGCAGCACTTCGTGACAAACTGCCCAGGCTCCAAAATCTGCATTCATGGCTTTGTTTGATTTTTTTTTCCCCTTTGCCTGCTTGTTCTCTTTTCTTCCTTTGCTCGCTTTCCTTCTCTTTTCCCAACCCCTTTTCCTTCCCCCTTTCCCACCCTTTTGACCTCTTGTCTATTTCTTCATTCCTCCATCCTCTCCCTCTTCCTTTACTTCCTTTGTCTCTTCTCCTTGTCAGTTCTAGTCTTTCGCTTCTTCCCCGCCTTCCTTTCCCTATTTTTTTCTCTTCTCTCTGCATTGTAATTCTACCCCATCCCATGAGATGAATTTCCATCAGAACTGAATGTGCCCAAAGCATATTTTATATACTTCTTTAAATGAAATGACTTCACAGTTTGCTCAGAAAATATTAATCAATGTCTCTGATAAATAAAACAAGAGTGGCCCTTTAATTTTTATTGATTTTCCTGTAATCAATGTACCACTCTAATAAATATGCCCTAAAATATAGCAAGAAAGGCCCTAGAGCAGGGCAGCAGGGCCCTTATTTTACAGGATGACAGCAATCTGAACCCGCTTAGCATCGAAGGAAGCAGACCAACCGCCCTCGGTTTCCTGAACACCAATTATCTCAAGCCCTTAAGATCAAAAAATCATTTTCAGGCAACCAATTG